TTACAAGATGCTTTATGTTCATTAATTTTTATAATAGTTATTTCACAATAACACACCATTTTATTCTTTTAGATATATATTATATCGATTTTGTTTTTTAATTTTTTTTTCTCATTTTTAATTATTCGTTTCGAAATTGCTTTTCCAACAAACTGAAAGCTTGTGAAGCATGCATACTAAAAAAGGGTTCTGAAACGATGTTTTAAGGTTAATTAAATTTTCTCTCTCTCTCTAGCTGAACAACATATCCTTTGAAATATTTCATGCTGAAAAATTTTTTTAATGTATTATTAATCATTGGATGTTATGACTAATTAATTTTCCTGGTGGATAGCTTTTCACGTAGTACATATCCAGGAAAGTTTAATAGTTCTTGTTGAATAAAAGCAATATCGAACCAAGCAAAAATAATTTTTCAAAGAAAATATGACCTTCATATTCTTATGCAACAGTTTTATTAGGTACTGAAACTTTAAAATAATCCCAGATTTTAATAGAAATTCCTCTTTTTATTAATTTAATGTTAAAGTAAGCTTCAGCTAAAATCTAAAAGGGGAAAAAATAGTTTTGTATGAAGGAATTTTGCAATAAGTATGCATGTCAAAATTTCATTTCCGTTAAAATTAGGGTCAAAGAATAGTTAAAAGTTCCTGCTCATATTTTTTTTAAGAAAGCTCTTTACAATTTTCAAGAATTCAAAATTCCTTTGAGGTTGTGTACTTTGGCATATTATTTGTAATAATTTAATTTTTGTTGGCCTTCACCTTAGTCCAGTAAAAATTTTTTCAATTTGAAAAATAACGAAAGTTTCATACTTCATTGTTCTAAATTCAAAGTTGTATAAACCATGAGATTATTTGAGGTCTATAGATTTTTGGAAGGAATTGCAAAAGCTTTTTAAAATACTCTGTTTAATATCTTGCCAATCTACTTTAAGTAATTTCTTTTTTAAATACTTCTCCTTTAACATTCTCTTACCTCTTGTAAGAGAGTATGGAAAACTAAATGTTTTGTTGTATACCAATAGTTGATAAAATCATACCTACATTTATTGATCGATATTATCTATTTTGGCTTTTTGACATGGAATGTACTCTCACGGAAAACAATCCAATAAGCTGAGCAATGGTTTGTTTTAAATGTCATGGTTTCGGACAAAAAAAACATCAATTAGTTTTGTGAGAACTTTTAAGGTAAGAAGCAAAATTTCTTGAACGATTATGTCTGATGAATACTATGCACTTTTCGGGTTCACTGATTCCAAACTCTCCTACTCAAGTTCATAAAAAATATACATTTTTAAAACAAATTTCGAAGATAAAAGATAAAGTGGTTTCCATTAAGTTTTTATTTATTTATTTTTTGTCATTTAAGCTATTATTTCAAAGGTTATAGGGAGAAATTCCTTAACACTGGTAGCGGATACAAAACATGAATGTTCGGAAACTTTCAAACAGAATAAAATACGCTTTTAATTTAAATGGCAAATCAATACCATTATCTTAAAAGGTGTCTATCTCATTTGCTTTCAATGAAATAGAAGGACTTTTAAAAGTCAAAGTGACCTTCTTACACAAAAGAAAAAGAATTAATTATCTCGAATCTTAAGAGAAGTATCTAGTTATAAAAAATCCTTTTTAAAATACACGCGGACTAATTCAATTTTTTTCTTACTTTGAAACAGGAGAAATGCAAGCATTTTGAATACACAGAATTCAAAACAAGGTTGTTAATTAATTAATTAATCAAGCGCAACATTGGCACAATT